TAAATATCAATATTTAATAAGATAAACTTTTAATAAGATTAATACCTTAATTTTTTAGGAGTTAGGACTTATATCTATTGTTTCATATATATATTAAAAAAAACTTTCATGAAATTTCTCAAATTGTTGCTCCAAAATCTTTTGTTAGTTCTACATATGATGGGATTGATTTTGTATTAGAAGAAGGCAATAATATCAAAATCCCAATTGAAGAAAAAAACTATACAAAGAGGGAAGAGATGGACTTAATATAAATTTCTCAATAAATGACTTGGAAATACTATGCTGGAAACAGGAAATCTAATTTCTAGCTTGATATTTTTGTTGTTATTTTCCCAAGTGGAGAATGCTCATCACAACCATATTGCCACCAAAGTTTGGGATTTATGGTATACTTCTTCTATTCCTGGTTTTTGAAAATTTTTTCTATATTTGATAATGAATGCATTTCAAATTTTGATCTTGAGAAAAGTTTTCTTTTTTTTTTTTTATTACAGTCCAAACAACCAAATTTTAGTCCAAAGTATAAACTAACAATGATGGAGTTCTCCACCAACCTGAAAATGCAAGAGTGCTATCTCATTCCTTTCCACTGATATTTTGATGACAATTGCTCAAATAGTTGGAGCATGAAGGAAACTGTCATAAAAATTTTCCCTCGTTCATTTCAGCACATTTCACAAGATCTTACATGTCTTTCAGCTCTAACAAAAGGTTACATTTGTCTTGAAAAAGAAGTTTATCAATCTTCCAGCAACTCATCAGCAAAAGCTAGAAAACCATTTGCCTGCTTCAGTTTTTAAGCAGCTAGATAGTTTAGTATCCATCAAAATTCAGCCATCCATGCTCCATTCCTCTTAGTTTTACTCTTCATCCTCCTCCTCCTCTTCTTCCTCCTCTTCATCACCATCACTATCACCATCATTACCATCGTAATCACCATCACCATCATCATCATCAACATCATCAATAACATCATCAATTCTGTTATAGCCATCATGTTTACTATTCAAGCAGTAAGGTTCCCTATCTTCTAAATCATCTCCATCTTTCTCTGATTGACGCCCCAGAGAACCATCGGAACTCTCATCAACATTGAGAATTTCCTTACTTTTAGTGCCTGCCATACCACGCCGGGTTTGGATGAGGTAATGTGCAACAGACTTATATCCCATTTTTACAACCTGAAAAGTTATCAGAAGTTGGTGAGACATCTAATTCCAGGCACATACACCTATTCCACATGCCAGGAATTCTCTTGGCCTTTCAGATGCCAAAACAATGTGATAGTGCACATGTCGGAGTAAAGGGAGTCTGTACAAGCCATAATCCAAAGGAGGAAGGGAGAAAAGGAAGAGGGTCAGAGATACTTTTTAAAAATAGAGAATTTACGTCTGGAATGTATGTGTTGTCTGCCCTGCTAAAAAATGACTATATTAGCAGAAGTCATTAGCAATCTATGATGGCAAATTGGGACTTGGGAGTCAACAGAATTATCACTGAGGGGAAAAAAATGCACATATTAAAGTCAGGAATAAGTTTCTATTTCTTAACCTTCCTATAGATGGCACCAGTTATGGCCCATCCCTTTCCGCGCCTGCAACGGCTGCAGTTGCAAACTCCACGACAAACAGGACAAATCCAATTGGGGTTCTGATTGGCTTCAATCACATTCTCCCCGTACCTGGCCAACAAAGAAAAAATTGTGCGTATCCATATAAGAAAACAGAAAGAGAAGTGAACTATAGCCAATAGTCAAATACAATTTTATCTGATGCATATTCATTTAACTTATGACAAAACTTAGGATACAGAAAGTGGCAAGACGAAAAAAATTTCCTGTTCCAAACTCCAAACATAAAGTAAATAGGTTATGAATACACCACTTGCAAACAAAAACCAATAAAACAAGCGCTTAACATTGTTATCTACAAGCTCCTGGTCAGTTTATCTTTTTCTCTAATAGAAGCAATGTAGTAATTGAGTAAAGGTACAGAACTTTATGGTTTATATTCATTTTATCTGTCATCTACGCAACATGAGTTCTGCAAAAGTCAATAAATTATAAAAAATCACCTCATGTACAAGCAATCTCCACAAAACTGCCCTTGAACCATGGCACATTTGCTACAGCGTGTATGATGACCAAGAGTTTTCTGCCTGCAAGGAAGAAGGTTATATTAAATATTGTTTTCCTAAAAGCTTAAATACAAGGAGGAAAAAGCAACAAAATAAGATCAGGTACTTGTTTAAAAAAGAATTGTCTACTTATCACTCCAGTTATTCACAAACTTTGAACATATGCTGGCAAAACTAAACAGCTCTGGCAGCTTACACTGTCTTCTGCAAGTAAACACATCACATGCAATGATGAAAGATGGAAAAATAAATTACCTGCACTGGTGACATGACTTCCCATTCACCTGATCATATATGCGCTTTCCATCCTTGCCATATCCATCCACAGAAAGAGTCCAAGGGGTTTTACAATCACCCAGAAGTTTTTCATGGTCTTCAGTGTATATCTCTGGTTCTGTACCTTCTTTTACGCAAATCTCATAATTCCCTGGAGGCATTTTCCTTTCAGGACGAACTTCTTTATAGCTAACTGAAGGCAAGGTCTTCAACCTAAATATGGAGATTAAGTTCAAAATACTAGAAGAAATACAAAATAATAACACCAAAAGTCCATGTCTAACAAGGGAGTTAGGAGAAGTAGCAGAAAAGAACCAAGAGTTTAGCAGAATTGATAGCCACCATCTTCAAAACCTTAACTTTGTTGCAGGGTTAAGTTCAGAGGTTCAAATGTATGAAATAGCTAAGCACTTAATGATTTGACCTTTTTTTTTAGAAAAAAAAAAAGAAACAAAGAAACAAGGAAAGAAAGCAGAGAAAAAGGACACTTTGATGGAACAAATGGATGAATGCACAAATATAATCTCATACATAGGGTGTAACAGATTTTTAACTATACACAGTCAATTGAATAGGCCTATTGGAGGACTTCAATTAAAAGAAAACGTTTTTAGCCAATTTCTAAAAGACCTAAACAACAAAAGAGCATAATAGTCCAAAATCTTGTTTCCTTCTTCCCTTCAACTCCTCCATTTTCTCAGCAAGCAGACAAAAACACTTCTCAGCCACACTCTCTTTGGAGCCCTAAAAAACCAAGATGGATTCTAATTTGCCCTCCTTTTCAAAATTTTTCTCGGAATGGGTAACCTTTCCAATATTTTTCAATCTCTCACATTTTCAACAGCCAAACACTCTAAAAAGTAGAACTTTTCAGACAATCTGTTAAAAAAGAACACAAAACATTCAGGAAATCGTTCTTCCTTTTTTCCATTATCACTTCCATCTTCTTATAATAACACATCTCCCATTATTTCATACAAAAAACACAAACTATCTTTCCATTTCATTACTTTTTTTTAACAAACAGAACAAAAACTAAAACCCCAAAAAGGGAAAAGGAGAAATACCTAGAAGAGCGTCGAGGAGGATCAGAGAGTGGACGAGGGGTTTTGGTTTTGTTCGCAGTAGAAGAAGAAACTTTTCTGGGGATCTTCCTCGATGGGTCTTTGAGTTTGAGTGAGAGGTCAAAGATACCCAATTTCTGCATCCTCTCAGTGTTCTCTTTGATCCTTTTCTCCCTCACCTTTTCGTACTCCCCCCCTCCTTCTCTGGCTGTTCCTTCACCTCTTTCCCCCCTCTTCTTCGCCATTGCTCGTTCGTCCTCTGGTTTCTCTTTCTTTCCCGCCAGAAGTAGAGACGAAGAGACGTTTGAAGGATGGACCTGACTATGGGAAACGAAAGGACCAATTTTTCATCCTTTCTCTTTTTTTTTTTTTCCGAATGGCGCCATAGACAAAAAGTCAAAACACTGTTGGACTGTGACACGTCATCACTCAGCTGTACACATAGGTAACTCTTAAGCCTATGGCCCAGGCCCATAAAGCAATTGCGCCACGCTTAAAAGATATCTATACAAGAAAAGAAAATCTTTTATGTAACAGGGATATCATTTTAACTATATAACAATTTAATGATAATTTGATATATAATTGCTAAGAACCTAAATAACTCAATGATTAAGAACCTAAATAACTCAATGATCATCTCTTTTTGTTAAAAATAAGAGATCTTGAATTCAAATCACACAGCATATGAGTGAAATGGAATAAGGAATCATTCTCATTGTACAATTAAGGTCAAATAATAATAATAATAATAATAATAATTTGATATACAATTGGAAAACCGAGTGATTAAGGTTATAACATACATAACCTTTGTTTTACATGTTAAAATTTCATAACTCTTTAATTCCGATTCCATTTCATGCCAATGATATAGTTTGAGGACTGTTGCAAAGGTGCAAGAGCATAAAGGAAACGACAAAACAAAAAACTTTCCTCAATGATTTCAGCACACTCGACAAGTTTTTACTTGCCTTTGCTCTTGTTCTGCACAAAATTATACATCCTTTCCAAAACAAAAGGGGCATTGGGCGGTTTCTTCATCTTCAAGCAACTGATCATTAACCCCCCTGAACAAAGAAAAGAAAAAAAAAAAAAGAAGGGAAAACCACTTTCCTTCTTCAGCTTTGGAGCCCCTAGTTGGTTTAGAATCACTCAAAATTCACCTCTCCATGCTGCCTACCATATGAGTAGAGAAGCCTTAGGTACCAATCAGAGCTCATATTGGCACCTGTCAGAGGTAGAACAATCAACTGGTTGCAAATTCCCTGATCTCAACCAGTTCTTTCCCCAAGAAATCCATCCATTGCACTATCTTCATCCCAACCTTTTTTCCATAGAAATCTGCTTCCCTCAGGCTATTTTTCCGGCAATTTGCACCTTCTTCCTCATCTTGCCTGATATTCACATCCACAAAACTCTCATCCATATCCCCAATTACTGTCTCCTTACCTGGCAATATGCTTCCTTTAGGACGTTTATCTCTGTAGTTAACAGGAGGCAATGTCATCAACCTAAATTTGGAAAGAGATTAGATTCATAATACTCAAACTAACGTAGAATAACAGCATCAAATATCCATAATATTTTCTCAAAAATAAAACAGAGGCTACATAGCATTAATCACTCCCCATTTACGAAGTAGCATTTTACATTCCAAAACCCAAAATATAAGTCTCATGTTAAGTGGAAAGTAACACATCGAATATATAATATGACTTAAATATAAGAAGGCTACTCCACCAATAGATTTTAAATTATATACAAATTTTGTGTTGAAAGCTCGCCCGTCATATGATATCAGAGCACAAGCTCTGTTCTGGAAAACCATATTGCCAATCCTATTTCTCGAAAATGGTTTCGAATTCTTTCTTATATCATA